AAGTGTAGCCTAAGTTTTCAATGTTTATAAAGTCTACTGTAGTATATACAATAATGTGCTAGGCCTTCGCATTCACTTACCAAGTTTCTCACCGACTCACCCTGAACAACTTCCAGTCCTGCAATCTCCACTCATGGTAAGTACCCTATTCACGTATATCATTTTTTAATCTTTTATACTATATTTTGACTGTACCTTTTCTATACTTACATACATTTAGATAAATAAATACTTGTCGTTGTGCTACAATTGCTTATAGTATTCAGCATAGTAATGTGCTTGTACAGGTTTGTAGCCTACAAGCAACAGACTATACCACATTGCTGAGGTGTATAGTAGGCTATACCACCTAGGCTTGTATAAGTGCACTCTATGATGTTCATGCAATGATGACAATGTTTAATGGCACATTTCTCAGAAAGTAATCTGGTCATTAGCTGCCACATGACTGTGTTTTCTCCCAGCCTGAGGCTTTAAAAAAATCTTCTTAATGATGTCTTCAAAAGCAAATATTTTAAATTTTGGTGCAGTCCAATGTATTATTTTTTATTGATCAAGCCTTTGGTGGTGTTTTGGGGAAAACTGCCTAACCCAAAGGAATGAAGATTTTTCTCCTATGTTTTCTTTGAAGACTTTTATAGTCTTAACTCTTACAGCTGGGTCTATTATCCACTTTAAGTTAATTTTTGTGTATAGCGTGAGGTCAGGTCTAAATTGAGTATTTTGTATGTGGATATTAAATTGTTCCAGCATTATTAGTAAAAAAAACAAAAACAAAACTATTTCCCCCATTGATTTGCTTTGGATCCTTTGTTGAGAGTCAACTGACCATGAATATAATTTTTAATTCTAAATTTGGTTCAATTTATCTATAGGTCTATCATTATGCCAGTATTATACCATTGCAATTACTGTAGCTATACAATAAATATGGAAATGAGGAAATATATATCTTCCAGATTTGTTTTAGCTGCTCTAGATCTTATACTTTCTCATAGAAAGGCTAGAATCTGCTTATTAATTTCAGCAAAATATCCTGCTTAGATTTTGATAGGAATTGGGTTTAATCTGTAGACTAATTGGGAGAAGAGCTATCATCTTAATAATACTGGCTGTTCCAATTCATGCATGTGGAATACATCTCCATTTATTTATATCTCTTTTTCGTTTCTCTGAACAATGTTTTGTGATTTTTTAGTGTACAAGTTTGAACTTCTTTTGTAAAATTTAATTCATCGTTGTTGTTGTTTTTTTTGTTTGTTTGATTTGCGATGGAGTCTTACTCTCTCACCCAGGCTGGAGTGCAGTGGCATGATTTCAGCTCACTGCAACCTCTGCACTCCAAGTTCAAGTGATTATCCTGTCTCAGCCTCCTGAGTAGCTGTGATTACAGGCGCCTGCCACCATGCCCGGCTAATTTTTGTACTGTTAGTAGAGATGGGGTTTCACCATGTTGGCCAGGCTGGTCTCAAGCTCCTGACTTCAAGTGATCTGCCCACCTTGGCATCCCAAAGTGCTGGGATTACAGGCATGAGTCACTGCGCCTGGTCAAAAATGTTTTCTTAATTTCATTTTCAAAATGTTAATGGATAGATTCTTGCATATTGTTCATGTATCTTGGGACCTTGCTGTCCTTGTTTATTAGTTCTAGTAGTTTTTGTGTGGCTTCTTTAGAATCTTCTACATATAGAATCATGTCATCTGTGAATAAATGCAGTTTCTCTCTCTTCTCCCTCACCATTCTGAATGCCTTTTATGTATTTTTCTTGCCTGACTGTCCTAACTACAATCTCCAGTGCACTGCTGAATAGAAGTGATAAGAAGAGACATCCTTTCCTAGTTATCAATACTAGAGGGGAAAGCATTTATTACCATGAAATATGGTTTGTCATCTAAAGGGTGTTCATAGGTGGTCTTTATCAGAAAGTTCTCTTCTATGCCCACTTTGTGGAGGGTTCTTTTCTAGGCCTACTATGTTCTCTTCCATGCCCATTCACTTTTTTTTTTAAATTGTGAATGAGCACTGAATTCTGCCAAAGCTTTTTCTTCATATTTTCATATATTCATGTGGTTTTTGTTCTTCTTTCTATTACTATGTTGAATTACATTAATTGACTTTTGGATAATAAGTCAACTCTACATCACTGGGATAAATCCCTTTTGGCTATGGTGTACAATCTTTTGCATATACTGTTGGATTCGATTCATTAACAGTTTGCTGAAGATGTCTGTGTGTATGTTCATGAGGAATATTGGTATGTAGTTTTCTTTTAATGTGTTTGTCTGACTTTGGCATGAGGGAAATACTGGTCTTATAGAATGAATTGGTGGGTATTCCCTTTCTCTTTCTAATCAAGGAATTTGAGAAACATTAGTGTTTCTTTTCTTAGGTTTAAAAGAATTCAAGAGTGAAGCCTAGGCTTTTCTTTGTGGGAAGATTTTTTCATTATCAATTCATTAATTCAACTTCTTTACTTATTATAGGTTTATTCAGATTTTTAGCTGTTTATGGATCAGTTTCTGCAATTTGTGGCTCTCTAGGAATTTATCCATGTCATCCATGTTGTTTAACTTTTTGGCATAGAATTGTTCATTGTATTCCAAAATAATTCCCCAAAGGGGAATTATACACTTTTAATGATAACTGTTCACCTGTATGTTCTCTCAACATATATTTTCAGCAGTGTCTCACTCTACTGGTATCAATTTACTGTATTAGTTCGTTTTCATGCTGCTGATAAAGACATACTCGAGACTGGGAAGAAGAAGAGTTTTAATGGACTTATAGTTCCACATGACTGGGGAGGCCTCACAATCATGGTGGAAGGCATGATCTTTGAAATATGATACATATACTTAAAATTAAATGCAATATTTATCCACCAGATGAAGAAAAACCCTTAAGGAGGTTCTTGTCACCAAAGGAGTTTATAACATATTAGTAATTTATTCATATTCTGACTTGTACCTTCCATTATGACTAATACATCGTATTAGCCTAATTAGCCAAAGGTAATGTTGTTTTTAGCTTTCTATCTATTCCTAAGTGTTATTTCCTAGTTTTTGTTTCTTTCTTTTATGTGTATGTACATGTTTTTACTTATCTTCAGGCTTACATATCATTAATAAATTATTTACTAGAGGTTAGTTGATAGTGACAAGACTGACATGGTACAACATGGAGTCATTATGTCACCCATGGGTAAGTTTAATACTATTACTGACTAAGTATCAGAAAGATCATTTGGGGATGTGAAAATATTAAAAGCTGCAAGATAAATTATAACAACTGCATGAAAATCCATGACACATACAGCTAACCAGTACTCTAATCTCATTTTTTCTCACATTCACTCTTCCTAAGTAGCATGGGGAAAAAAATGAAAAATGCTGATAGATTTAAGTGTTTCAGGTATTGAGAGTCCTCAAGTCTACCAGTTATTGCAATAAAAACTGAAGGAGAGGTCAATCCCGAATGAAAAGAAGATGCTGGCTAGCGTTAGCAGCCTATAAACTTTAAGAATTAGTATATAAATTACATTAGGTTGGTACATATAGTAGTAATCATTATGTAGTAACCCGTCATCCCACACTGTAATTCAGAGAGAAAGTACTGAATAGATACAATGGTCACAAAGAATAAAATTAATTTACATACAGTTCATTGTAACATGATTATTACAACAAAAGATGTCGTAATGGCATTTGAAAATAGAAATGGATGAGTGTTTACTGTGTGGGGAGGCTGAAAGAAGTTGATGCTGTAGAATTAGTGTTCAATTAATACCATCCAAAGGTACAAGACTGCATTAAGTGGAAATAAAATTCCAGTAGAGGGGTTATTTTAAAAAGGATTGAAAATAATTCTCTAGGTTTTCCTATGACTACTAAGTATCCCATAAGATCAATCCTTACCTCTAATTCTCTACTAATCAAGCAGTCTTCTAATATATATATAATGTATTCTTCTATTCAGCAGAAGTGTGTGATCCAGATAGACAATACTCATTTGTCAAACTGCCAGCTATACTTCCCATGATTAATAAATGACATGGCATTTGTGCTTATAAATTTATACTTCTAAAATTTGGTTAATGTCAATGAGTCCTGCAGCACTTGACAAAATGTTGCTAAAACTGGAGCATGCTGTCTCCATAAAGATATAACTACCCCATGAATACTATGCAAAACAGCATACATATACCTCAGTTTCCAATAGTAGATTGATTAGAAAAATAATGACCTGAGTTTTAGGGGCGAAGAGTTTAAAATGTCATTATTCAATCTGGAAAATATTTCTGAGTTTATTTTAAGCATCTATGGAATGATGTAATTGTATTTTACATTTCAGACTGTAAAATCCAGGGCAAAATGTAATGTTGATGATAATAATAACAATAATAACAATAACATCAGTTTATATTATTGAGACTAATTAATTCTTATAACTACCCTGTAATGCAGGTATTACTATTTCCCTTTTATGAACGAAGAAAGTGAGGCATAGAGAGAGGATCTGCCACAAAACATAAAGTTCTAAAGTGTAAGAATTAATATTTAAACTCAGGGTAGTCTGAAATTAAAATTCATGGTTTCAACCACTATAGTATACTTGGTATACTACATATTCATAAAATACCTAGAGTAATAAAGGAGGAAATGATAATTTTGTGCATACAGCTATGTGGCTAAATTCATATTAGCCATCTTATTCCTATATTTAGGATTCTAAGCACTAAGATTTAAATGTAAATGTGCTTATTTGGTGTCATATCACCCAAAATACAAATATAAACCACTTCAACATTGTGATAGGTGATTGCTATGGGTACAACCTTATTTTAGTGTTTCAAACAATTCAAAAGCTTCAATAATAGCTATGGAAATACTAACAAATGACTATTAATATTTACAATGATATCTTCAAATTCTGTATCATACATATAACTCAAGATTAGGAAAATTCAATAAAAATATGAAAGAATTTTGGTAAAACTTACTTTGCAATCTCCGTGTTGGGCTCTCTCCATGGAGCTGTCTTCGTGGCATATATGGAGAAGGGTGGGGGAGTGGCAATGAAGAGACATCATGCGTCTGAAGTTTGTACCAATGTGGCTCATCATCTAATAATGCTGTTTCTAATTCAATTAAAATCTACAAACCCAAGAGACAAAGGACAGTTACAATATACCAATAATAAAGAAATTATGTTAAGTGGTCCTACAACTTTTGTAGTAATAATTATAATAGTAATGCTATTACATGAAAAACAAGGTCATTTAGATGTTGCAAAATTGTCAGTATGCTTTTGACAATAAATAAACTTTTATAACTTCTTTAGTGATTTAATAGTTTTAAATATCTAAGACATTTATTTTTTTGACCCTTGACTACCCGTTACAAAAGTAACACTTTTCATTTTAAATGACTGTAATAATAACTAATATTTGTATATCATTTTAGAATTTTAAAAGCGTTTTTATTTAGAGTCAACCTAAACCCCCCTCAGTGATGACTAAGTAAAGAAAATATGGTACATACACACCATGGAATACTAAGCAACCATAAAAAAGAACAAGATCATGTCCTTTGCAGGGACATGGATGGAGCAGGAGGCCATCATCCTTAGCAAACTAATGCATGAACAGGAAACCAAATACTGCATTCTCACTTTTAAGTGGGAGCTAAATGATGAGAATACATGGACCCACTGAGGCAAATAATACATACTGGGGCCTATCGGAGAGTAGAGGGTAGGAGGAGGGAGAGTATCAGGAAAAATACTAGTTGGTACTAGGCTTAATACCTCGGTAATGAAATAATCTGCACAACAAACCCCATTAAACATGTTTACCTATGTAACAAACCTCCACATGTATACCTGAACTTAAAAGTTAAAAAAAATTAACTTTTATAAGAACTTTTAAATGGGAAGAGTAAAACAAATTTGAAGTGCCTACTGTGTATTATGAACCGTGCCATATCATCTGCCACAATTATTTTAAAAATTACTAGCTTTGTCTTATTGTTTAATTTTTATAAGCAAAAATACCAAGGCTAACAAAGGTTAAAAGAACTTATCTAAGGTCACACCAGCTTTTAAGTGAAAGAGGTGTAAACTGAATCAGCCTGTCTAATTTAAAATTCTGAATTTATCATACCATCCTGCTAAAGATTTAAAACAAGAAAAGAAAAAAACAAGAATGGATTTTAAACATGAACTATATTACAATACAAATTTTATAACACAAATTTTTAAAAATTTACCCAAAATATAAGTCTGTAGAAATTAATGTCTACTTTTTTTAGGAGGTTGTGCAAGTGACAGTGTTTGTGCTTTGTGTTTACAAGAATGGCCACATAAAGATAAATTACTATTTACCTAAGGGAGGTAAAGAAGCAACACAGCCAAGTTAATATTTCATTCTTTCTTTTTCGTTTTTGAGACAGGGTCTTGCTCTGTCACCCAGGGCGGGGTGCAGGGGTGCACTCATAGCTAACTGCAGCCTCAAACTCCTGGGGTAAGGCAATTCTCCCACCTCAGCCTCATGAGTAGCTACGACTACTGTATGCAGCACCATGCCTAGCTAATTTCTTTTTTTATTTTTATTTTTAAACATGGGGGTCTTGCTATGTTACCTAGGCTGGTCTTGGACTCCTGGTCTCAAGCTATCCCCGTCTCCACTTCCCAAAGGATTGGTATTACAAGTGTGAGCCACCATGCCTGGAGTTATTTCACTCTTTCTAAATTTTCCCTAGTCATTTTCAAAATTGTAAGTACTGTGTTCCAAAGTATTACAAACACACAATACAACACACTTATTTAATTCTCATATTAACCCTGAGTTGCATAAAGTATTATTTCCACTTGGTTGAAGAACAAACTGAAGCACAGATGGGTCAAATAACTTGTTCAAAGACCCAAGGCTAAGAAGTGGTAGTGCCAGGAATATAAACCCAGTCAGTTAGCTTCAGAATCTCTGCTCCTAACAACTGTGTGACCCTTCTTCCCAAAGGTCACACAAGGGATTTTAGTTTAGTTTAGCTTTTTTTTTTTTTTTTTTTTTGAGATGGAGTCTTGCTCTGTCGCCCAGACTGGAGTGCAGTGGCGTGATCTTGGCTCACTGCAAGCTCTGCCTCCCGGGCTCAAGCGATTCTCTTGCCTTAGACTCCTGAGTAGTTGGAATTACAGGAGCCCACCACCGTGCCCAGCTAATTTTTGTATTTTGGTAGAGATGGGGTTTTGCCACATTGGCCAGGTTGGTCTCAAACTCCTGACCTCAGGTGATCTCCCCCCGCTTGGCCTCCCAAAGTGCTGGGAATACAGAAGCATTTTTAGTTTACCACTCTTTGGTTCCTCAGCTGACAACACTCACTTCAATATTTCTATAGACTTGTTTTTCCCATGAGATTACCATTTAATTTACTCAGAAACAAACAAACAAAAAAACCAAAAAACTGATATAGTTTGGCTGTGTTCCCACCCAAATCTCATCTTGAATTTTAACTCACACAATACCCTCGTGTCATGAGAGAGACCCAGTGGGAGGTAATTGAATAATGAAGGTGGGTCTTTCTCATGCTATTCTCCTCATAATGAATAAATCTCACAAGATCTAATTGTTTTATAAAGAGGAGTTCTCCTGCATAAGTTCTCTCTTTGCCTGCTTCCATCCATGTTAAGACATGACTTGCTCTTCCTTGCCCTCCACCATGATTGTGAGGCCTCCCCAGTCATGTAGAACTGTAAGTCCATTAAAACTCTTCTTCTTCCCAGTCTCGAGTATGTCTTCATCAGCAGCATGAAAACGAACTAATATAGTAAATTGACACTAGTAGAGTGAGACACTGCTGAAAAGATACCTGAAAATGTGGAAGTGCTTTGGAACTGAGTAATGGACAGGGGTTGAAACAGTTTGGAGGGCTCAGAAGAAGACGCGAAAATGTGGGAAGGTTTGGAACTTCCTAGAGACTTGTTGAATGACTTTGCCCAAAATGCTGATAGCTATATGGACAATAAAGTCTACGCTGAGGTAGTCTCATATGGAAAGGAGGAATTTTTTTGGGAACTGCAGCAAAGGTGATTCTTATTATGTTTTAGCAAAGAGACTGGTGGCATTTTATCCCTGCCCCAGAGATTTGTGGAACTTTGAACTTGAGGGAGATGATTTAGGCTATCTGGTGGAACAAATGTTGAAGCAGCAAAGCATTCAAGAGGTGACTTCGGTTCTGTTAAAGGCGTTTCATTTTATAAGGGAAGCAGACCATAAAAGTTTGGAAAACTTGTATCCTGACAATATGATAGAAAAGAAAATATCATTTTCTGAGGAAAAGTTCAAGCCAGCTGCAGAAATTTGCATAAGTAACGAGGGGCCAAATGTTAATCGCCTATGTGCAATGGGGAAAATGTCTCCAGGGCAATTCAGAGGTCTTCATAGCAGCCCCTCCCATCACAGGCCTGGAGCCCTAGGAGGAAGAAATGGTTTTGTGGGCCAGGCCCAGGGTCCCCATGCTGTGACACCAAGACTTGGTGTCTTGCGTCCCAGCTGCTTCAGCTGTGACAAAAAGGAGCCAAGCTACAGCTTGGGCCATTGCTTCAGAGGGTGCAAGCCCAAGCCTTGGCAGCTCCCACATGGTGATGAGCCTGCAGGTGTACAGAAGTCAAGAATTGAGATTTGGGAACCTCTGCTTAGATTTCAGAGGATGTATGGAAATGCCTGGATGTCCAGGTAAAAGTTTGTTGCAGGGGTGGGGCTCTCATGGAGAACCTCTGCTAGGGCAGTGCAGAAGGGAAATGTGGGGTCAGAGCCCAAATACAGAGTCCCTACTGGGGCATGGCCTAGTGGAGCTGTGAGAAGATGGCCACCAACCAGAATGGTAGATCCACCTACAGCTTGCACTGTGCACCTGGAAAACCCAGAGACACTCAATGGCAGCCCATGAAAACAGCCAGAAGGGAGGCTATACCCTGCAAAGCCACAGGGGTGGAGTTGCCCAAGATCATGGGAACCCACCTCTTGCATCAGCATGACCTGGATGTGAGACATGGAGTCAAAGGAGATTATTTTAGAGCTTTAAGATTTGATAGTATCACTGGATTTCAGACTTGCATGAGGCTTTGTTTTGGGCAATTTCTCCCATTTGGAATGGCTGTATTTACCCAATGCCTGTACTCCCATTGTATCTAGGGAGTAACTAACTTACTTTTGATTATATAGTCTCATAGGCAGAAGGGACTTACCTAGTCTCAGATGAGACTTTAGACTTTGGACTCTGGACTTTTGAGTTAATTCTGAGTTAAGACTTTGGAGACTATTGGGAAGGCATGATTGGTTTTGAAATGTGATGACATGAGATTTGGGAGGGGACAGATGGAATGATATGGTTTGGCTGTGTCCCCACCCAAATTTCCTCTTGAATTGTAACTTCCACAATTTCCATGTGCCGTGGGAAGGACCCAGTGGGAGGTAATCAAATAATGTGGGTGGGACTTTCTGATGCTGTTCTCCTCATAGTGAATAAATCTCACGAGATCTGACGGTTTTATAAAGAGGAGTTCCCCTGCACAATCTCTCTCTTTGCCTAGCACCATCCATGTAAGATGTGACTTGCTCCTCCTTGCCTTCTGCCATGTGGACTGTAAGTACACTAAATCCCTTTTTCTTCTCAGTCTCGGGTATGTCTCTATCAGCAGCATGAAAATGAACTAATAAACCAACCACACTGAAAAAGGCTGAAAGTGAGTAACTTAACATGCTAATAGCTGGATAATTGCTTCCCATCTTGCCTTCTTCAATCATTCTCCACATTACAGTTGGAAATACTTTTCTCAAGTACAGTCAAACCATTTTCTTTTTAAAGAAAATATGAGACTGGGCAAGATGACGAGACCCATTCCTACAAAAAAAATAAAATTAGCTGGGCATGGTGGTGGGTGCCTATAGTCCCAGCTACTTGGGAAGCTGAAGCAGAAGAATTACTTGAGCCCAAGAGCTTGAGGCAGCAGTGAGCTATGACTGTGCCACTGTGACAAAGTGAGACTCCATAGAGATGGGAAAGAGAGAATTGGTTATTGGTTATTGGTTCCTATTATCAACCAGATAAATCCAAATTTGTTTATATATTAAGTGACATGCCCAGGTCTCAGTTTAAGCCTCAAACCTCATTTCTTACCATATTCCCTTCCAATTTCAGTGCAATTGACCAATATCTCCTCACCCTGATGTCTTCTTATTCCCTCTGCAGGAATTTCACTCCCCTTGAATTTGCTAAATTCCTCTCTCTCTGTGAAGACTTGCTTTGACCACCTGCCCTCCTCTGCACAGCAATTATGTATTCCTATTGCATTTTCCCCTCCATATCAATTGGCATGTTATATTCTAATTGCTATTCATGTGTCTGTATCACCAATGAATTGTAAATTCCTTGAAGTAAGTAACACTCCTTATTTACCTTTGAAGGCTCAATCTATAGCACAGTGCCTGTTACATTGTAGGGCTTGAAAATAATCCATAAATAAATGGTTTAACTACTTATTAGTGGTACAGTCTGTTCAGTAAACTACCAAAATATATACATATCACTATAAAACAAAGCAATGTATTTGTGAAATACAAATCTTTTATCATTCAACACTGAGAGTTCTAAAATAAGAAATGACATGTAAAAACTGTCAGAATATGTACAACCACTGTTTTCTATAGTTTCAAGTTTTGTCCTAAAGCAGCAGCTGAAATACATTCCATTAAAGAAATTGTGCCTACCTTTGCAGATATTCTACATATAAAATTATACTGACAGTTATATAAATAAAAGCATTCAGGATAACACGAATAGCATAAACTTTAAAACAACTCCAGATACCTCGCCTAAGAATTCACTTTCTTCCTCTCGAACTCGAGCTTGATCCCAAAGGGTAATCTCTAGCATTCGTTCCCGAAATTCTCTTCGGTGGACTGGAGAATAAATGAATGTTTGGTTCCATTTGGGTTCCAATGTTTTCTTTACTGTTTTAGTTCTTCTCTTGTTTTTATCACTATGGGAAAAAACCAACAAATTATGAACTTACATAGAACCACAAGTTTTATCCTAAAATTTTTTCATTTAAAATTTCTCGGTAAACAAGTTAGGTGATATTTTACCATCAAATTATCATACATTGCAAGTGTTATAACCTTTAAAATTATTATGAAAAATTTAAGGTGTATACTATATCACACTTTATAGATATGACAATAATGGTGAAGTTACAATAAATGTTAAATTTTTTCCATGACAAATTATTGAAAACTTAATTTTTCTCAAAATCTAAATAAAACCAGACCTGAGAATCTTAACTCAATAATTTTTTAACACATCGCCCTACTGAAAACCTTCTAAATGATAATTAACCAGTAACATTACATATACTATTCATTTAAACTACAGAAGTCTCATTGTACAAAAAGAGGAGTAAATTGTGATATTCACAACTTCTTATCTACAAAGTTCTAGCTAATGACCAATTATAATCTATTTTTTATAAAGATACTTCTTTAAATATAAGAAATTCATATTTATTTGACATATATTTGGTATTTTAAAACACTGTAAATTTATTTCTATGTGAGGTAGTCACCACGACGTGAGTTGAAAATGCAAGATAACCATCCCAATAAATGGGATTGCCAGTTCAAAGGTTTTCATGTTCTTTTTGGTTGTATATCTCTGTACGTGTGTCACCATACTGTTATACTTACATATTGTCCATATTGGAAAATAGATGAAAACAGAAACTAAAAATAATAAAATAAAAATTTTTAAACATTCAAATATTTCTTCCTGATCATGAAAGGATTATCCTGTACATCACCTAGGGTACATCCAACCTATTTGGAGATCATTAATCTTGCTTATTAGACAGGATCACTGGCTGGATAGGAATACAATTTTCTAGGAAATACAATTTAAGCTACCTAAGAGAACTATCTAAAATGACAGACAAGCTCCAGTTAGAACAGTATCAACTGCTACAAATTATCTCAGCACAACACAGTCCCAAGAGTTTTGGGAAATAGGGAGGAGAGAGAACTAAGAAGGCGTAGAATTGTCTCTGAAATTGGGAAGTAATGCAACTTCTTCTCATTGGAATTTTAAGTTTAATATAGATTTTACTTGAATGATGAAGAGGTATTATATGTTTCCAAAGCACACATATATAATGTGGCAGAAAGATGACTTTAAATATACAAATTGATAATGAATTTTGTTAATACACATGGACAAGATAACATGCAAGGTAGCTTTATTAACCATGAAGGCATTGGCAGAAAAATGACACTGCAAACCCATGTAGGAGATTTTATTTCTATACCTGGAAAGAAGTGATAATGTGTATGGGAATAACTTATCTGAAACAAGGACTGTGATGTATGATCTTTCTCTCCCTCCCTTTGCTTACAGCTTTAACAAATATTTATTTAACATCTACTCATATTTCATTGATGAAGAATGAATTTTGAGACTCTGTCAAGAGATAAAGGTCCTTCCAAGAAGGCCAGGATGAAAGTATTTAACAGGAGCCTTGCTATCTAATTCAAGAATGGTTTATATCTGGCCAGGCACAGTAGCTCACGCCTGTAATCCCAGCACTTCGGGAGGCCAAGACAGGTGGATCACGAGGTCAAGAGATCGAGACCATCCTGGCCAACATGGTGAAACCCCGTCTCTACTAAAAATACAAAAAATTAGCTGGGCATGGTGGCAGGCACCTGTAATCCCAACTACTAGGGAGGCTGAGTCAGGAGAATTGCTTGAACCCGGGAGGTGGAGGTTGCAGTGAGCTGAGATCGTGCCTTTGCACTCCAGCCTGGGCAAAAAGAGCAAAACTCTGTCTCAAAAACAAACAAACAAACAAAAATGGTTTCTATCAAAATCTGAAAGGAAAAAGAAGAGGAAGTCATGAACTTCCTCTTAAGGACAGAAAAAAGTTCTCAGATAAAGAATGAAAATTTTAGACAGGATTTCTATGTTGAATAGGAAGAGGAATAGACAATCTCTGAAGTTTCTTATAAACCTAACATATATGATTACAATTCAATAAGGCAATTTGGTACGTACCCAAGCACCAATTCACAAAAAGAACCATTAAAAATAACCTTATTTTCAGCAAGTTAAAAAAAAAATGAGTTTTACTTTTTCTAGAAGTATAAATAAAGCCTTCAGAATCAAAGCATACTGCGTAAGTCAAACACTGAGAAGGTGCTAAAGATATTTAAACACTAAGATCAATAAAGATGCTATAGACATCATTTTAAAATAAAAGCCTAATTATAATAAAATAAATAATTGATCTTTTAATGAATCATCAAATTGCTGAGAAGGTAGTTAATTTTTAAAAACAATAAAATCCAACCTAATCCTTTTTAAAAATTTATTTTCATGTTACTAGAACTTTGGTTTCCATTAAATGTAATTCAGTAACAGCATGCAAACACTTGATGTTTTTACTTAAAATTAGAAGAAGAAATATATTTTAACTGGCGACTAACTTCAAGATATAAAAAGAGTATAAAACTTCAAAATATGTATCAAATAAAATGCAAAGCCTTTGTTCATTGTCTATTCTTTTGTCCTTTTCTTTGCTGAGATTGTTGTTCAGGTGACACTTTGGTACCGAACTCAACCTTGATGACTTTCTACTTGAACCAAATAACTAAATCAATGAGAATCCAAAAGTGTATAAACATGTTTAAGATCACATCTGTGCCTATCCACTTCCGACCTGAGAAAAAATAACGAGATCTTGAGAGCACTCTGCCGTGGGAGGCAGGGATGCAGACAGATAACTGGGGAAAGGTAACTGGTATCATTCCTTCTTTTTTTTTCATGATGCCTATTGAATAGTCTCTTTTATTTTTTATGTGCCTGAAATTCAGAGTGATTAGACTTGTTTTCAGATAAAGTATTTCTCCAATCAAATCAGGGTAGAACAAAAAGAAAAAAAATTAAGGGTAGAACAATACCATTTATATTGATTAGAATAAACACAAAACAAATAATGCTTGAGGAAGGTGATTCTGGGACTTGTGGTAAGTTTTCTTGATGATATAAGGTGATGAATACAAAACAACTTGTTAAATTTATAGAATAGAGAGAAATAATATCTTGGTAAGAGGAGGTAGAAATTGCAGAGAAATGAGCACTTTTTAGCAGTATTTTTAGCTTTTTGACTAAAAGAGCTAGTATTTTTGACTAAAAATTCTAGTATTTTAGCTTTTTGACTCTATAATTTGTGTTAAAAATTTGATTTTAGGAAGCATAACTTTTAATGATTTTGAATAATGAAAATATATACAAGAATACACACATGCCTAAAATTAATATTTAAAATCACATATACAACATTTAAGTTTTTAAAAATCTAACTTACTGTCACTATTTTGATTCCTAAGAACCATCACGTTTATGTTAAACTTCACATATCTCACTAGTATGATACCAATAAATGATACAGAATTGAAATACCCATTGCTATTAACATTTCCTCATTTATTTTCCAGAACATTTATTTTTGTTTTATATCCTTACCTTCTGTCTGGAAGAAAGTAAATTTTAACATAAGGATTCCTTGGCCTCCCATCTTCCCTGGAAGGGAGATCCTTTGCTCCCAAAATTGTAACTATTAATTGGTGACCAACCTTGTCAAACCATAGTTTTATCTGAAAAGCAAAAATATTAATTTATCAATTCAAACATTTACTACACAAACACAATGTTTACCTTTCCAATCTTCACCCCATTCTCTTACAGTATCATTAGCACAGAATATAAATTTTACTTAGTAAATTGTGGCTAGTTAAAAATAAAAGGATATACTATAATAACTTCAATGAATAAAAGAATGATTCAGACATTTCAGTTTGATCAAGCATGTGGGCTTTTTATTATCTTAATGTGATTGCTTATTAACATGTACATAATTACATTATCATAATTAAGGACTTTATATAAAATGACTGATCTGTATCTTTACTTATGCAAGAATCACTAGTTCATTTTGGTTCCCCTACAAAAAAAACTGAGTTCAGAATAAGTGCTCAAAATGAATTGAGTAGATAATATCCTGTTTGTATAACATTCATAGGGAATTTTCAAGTAAATGTTTTATGTTGTTTCATTGTTAAAAACATTTAAAATATTATAAGCAAAAGGGATTTACTAGTAGCTTTAGTCAATAGATTCCTTCAGTTTGAACTTAAAATGATAATGAATTCATCTTTAAAATTTTTCCTTATTCAGACATTAAGTCTCATTCTTTTGTGAAGTTGATGAATAATATCCTTAGGATAATAAGAGTACATTTTATTATTTGAGATAAGAAAATGAGAACAATTTCCCTGTGCCATAATTAGGGAAGGGAACTTCATATCCAACTGCTGAATTCACTTGATTTAACAGTTATCACCTCCCACACACATACCTCACACTTGCACACCTAGCTGTCTGATTCTACTATGTCAGGATCTATGATAACTATGGCTCTGATCCACATCTTGGCCCAGAACTCAGCACATATCTAACCACTATGTTGAAACTGAAATGGAACCAAAATTTGGAACTTGAGAATAACAGTTACAAATCAGTACTGGTTATACATAAACACTGGGAATTCAATTCCAATTCCAACATAGCTTTGTTGAGTCCCTCACTTCATATTCTAGAGAATGAGACACTGAGCAACTTTTGAGTCAGAAAAGGTAAACTGACAGTCTCAAAAAAGTATATAAAATTATTTCCATCTTTTTTTTTTGCCAAATGGAATCAGCCCTTTTATAGGAATAAGAGTAAGAAATATCCAACTTGTTTAAATTATAGTTATCAATTTTTATGTTTTTACATTTAATGCAGGTAATATCTTGCTATTGAATAACAAGAAATTTTTCTAATGGAGCTGCTAAGTACAAAAATAGACCCTAGACAAGTATTTCTTACATTGGGCTAATAAACTTTCCGTGTCAGTATTATCTCACTTATTTATTAAAAAGTTACAAATTCCTGGGCCCACCTCTCGCCTACTGAATCAGAACGAGGCCCTGGAAGTTGGATTTTAACAAGTCCCTAGGTGATCCTCAAGTGCATTAAAATTTGAGAACCACTGCCTTACATTAAGAGATTAACAACTTGAAGAAAAAAGTCTCCAATATATGAAAACAGTTAAAATATTTGCTTTTCTAATAATATTAGAACATAGATACAGATAAGAAAAAGGGGCCAAAAGGAGACTATTCTTCTGACAAAAGATATGAGTGAAAAAGAGAGAAATGCAGGATTGTCTGATTGTATATGAGATCAAAGAGGTGTTATAGATAGTATCATAAATGTGTGACAAAAACCCAACTGATTTCTATGGTAGTCTCTATTTTCATCAGTTTTAAAGAGTTTATGGCTTCATTTTTTCTAAGACATTAAAAAGTTTTCTCTGAGGTTCATGACATGAATATTAAGCACCTCAAAGGAAAAAAAAAAGATTCTGTAAGGTTAAAAAGATTTATTTCCAATAAATGTTACATTTAAGAAACAATAATTATTATGAGACTAAGCTAAAAATTATTAGAGCAAATTATTGATTTCTATGAGAACCTTTTGGGGGGTTAAACTAAGTACTTGTGGCCATCTCCACCAGCAATATTTTTTCTCCTTTAAAATCATTAAAACTAGCATTTGAGATATATATTTCAAAAGTCTGATAGAGTATTCTTTTCAGATTTCCTTATGCCATGGAAAACCAAAACATTATCAGTTACTAATATTGTCCATTTCTCATACAGAGTAAACATATGGCTTATTTTTGGTATAATATTTTAGAGTTTACTAAATTATAAATTACAAATGTACAAATATTAAAATAATTTAAACAGCAAATAGGCACATTTTAACTTTACTAATTATTTGACCAAAATTATACCTTTTAATAGACTGCTTTAAACTGAGTATTTGAATATAGCCCTAATTTTTATTTGTATTATAGGACTTGCATTGAAGTTTTTAATAGATATCCAGTTCACATAATCGAAACAGATTTTATTAGGTACATCACTTTATAACATTCTTAATTTCTTATCTGTGCTTTTTAAATAAGTGTTTAAAATATAGCTGTTGATTCCCCCAAATATAACAAACATATCTTCACAATTCTGGTCCTGACATAGTTCCTGTTCAGCCCCAATTTCATTAATAAAAATATTAGTATAATTTAAATTGTTTTAAAATATTTCTCATTCCAGCTTTAGCATGTAACTATTTTTAATTTTCCTAAGTAGGACCTAAGCAGCATAGGTAAATATTTTATATTGTATAATATTAACAAGAATAATTTAATTTTTAAAATTTAAACAAAATAAGTATTACTCAGAAGCAACAAATTTTTAAAAAAACAACATGCAGCAAAGCAAGGAAAGCATAATACTACTTAAAAAAAACTATATTGCCATTACTTTACCATATAAGGGGTTCCTAATGAAAAGAGGCAAACAACTTGTACCCAAGTATTACATAAAATTAAATAAAACTACAATGGCAAAATATTAACAAAATAAATCCAACTTATTTTATTTGGATTATAATTTTGTTCTTTCAAAGTAAAATACTTTCCAAAAAATGAACATTATATATAATATGCATAAAATTCATATTTTAAATAAGGTACAAATTTATTTGCCAGTCTCCTCAAGGAGTTATTACTTGGAAAATGCAAGAGAATATAGATGTTAAGTGACATAATGAGTGATTTAAAGAGACAGCAACCTTAGTGTAACAAAGGAAAATATCAACAGTATAAAATTAGTTATTTCTGTAAATGTCATATATATAAGTAGAATCTACATTAAATACCACTTTGAAATCTATAAGGTTTAGTATTTAGTTTATCATATAAAATCACTAACAAAGATTGTCTCTTTAAATTTTTATTCAATATTCTAATCCCCATGCAAATTTTCACAAGCTGGCTAATAAAATGATTTGAAAGTCAATAATATGGTTTGGAGCAACATACCAAAAAAAGTTTTCCTACTAACGCATTTTCCAAAAACATACAAATAAGGGTTAAACACAACTTTAGTTTCTATCAGGCAGACAAGGCCTTTACCTGAACCCTAGGAACAAAAGGCGTTGTTCTTCTACTAAGGCTTTGGTTCTGGTAAGCAAAATTAAAGAAAGAAGCAATAAAACAAAACCAAAAAGGACAACACACTGGAACTAAAAGACCAAAAGTAAAAACAAACACATACAACTATCCCTTAAATACAATTTTTCCATGACAATATTTATCAAAATTAAGTACTTCAGTGTAATGAATAAATTAATTTTGTCCAATGCCAAAAAACATTAAAAACTATACAAAATACTAGAATTTGTATAATCAAATTTTTCAAATGTAGTTCACAAAACAAGAATTAAGACTGGATATAAAATCATATATTTGGGCTCATGTATTTTGAAAGAATGATTAAAAGCATAACCCAAGAATCAATAAATTTCATATTTTATCCTTAAACATACTACACAGAAAATAGGACAGTGTAAAATGAAGTTAGTTGAAAATGTATTACAGAGTTATTAGTGAAAACCCATCTGTGGAAGTAATTGTGTGACTTCTCCAAAGTATGTCTACCCAAAGTCCAAAAACTATTAGCCAAGTTGGCTTTAGAATTTCTTAAAAGAATAAACACATTAAAATAAAAGTGTGCAGAAATGCATTGGATTAATTACTTGATTCATACTTGATGGATCCCTATCAGGTTCTAGTATTGAAACACCATCATCAGACATTTATTATGTACCACTTAAGGTAACACTGTTTATTGCTAATCACACCTATTAATGACAATATCTTATCTCTTTTTGCTTATACAGTTTGTTGGACTTTTTCAAGGCTTTATTGACAGTTTATTGTAAGTTTATTGCCTCATGGTATTTCCAACAACCTTATGAGGTAGTTGCTTCTACTCACAATTTGTAGGTGAGGAAACACAGAAAAGGGCTAGACACACTTGCCCATACTCAAACAAAAGGCAAGGTAGTGTAAAGACAGAAAATAGAACCCAGTTCTAATTAAATCACTAAATCAAATTCTCAGAATCAAATCAAATTTCCTTTCTCTTACTGACTTTTGTTTTCATTTTGAAAGTTTCCAAAAGACACCACAATAATCAGAATGTTGTGCCTTTATTAGGCATTCCAACAGCTAAATCAGAACATGATCAGGTTTGGGAATGGATTTCAAGGCATTTAATTCTGCTTCTATCACCAAGATTCCATCCCATTCCTCACATTTCTTATGGATGTCTCTCTTGTCTACTTCAAAGTCATAAATAGTTAAAGGCTTCTCTCTTTCCACTGCTAACTGGAAACAGATAATGAGTACTAAGAGTACTTTTTCTCAGTCCAGTTGGCATTGATCAGACACGTTTATTTAAGACATAAATCTAAAACCCAAAGGAAAGCAGACTTAAAAGCAGACTGTCATTCAATCATGAGTCATCTTTCTCTCTCTCTCAATCTCTCTCTCTCTCTTTCTCTCTGTCTGTCTCTTTCAAAACCAAGGCAGTTTCAAATCTAAGCTGTCTTATTTTTTTATGTGGAAATATTCCCAAAGGAAGAAAGAAATATTCAGAGGTGGAGTGTGTTACTGATGTCTGTCGGCATAACCACAGGCTATTATAATGCTTTAGCAAATGACAGAGGGCATATATGAAATTCATAGAGAAATTTGGCATGCTGAAGAAAGGGACTAAACAAGGTACTTTAGAAATACATTTTATTTCCCCTGTCCTCCTACCTGTTTTGTTTTAGACCAAAAATATTAAGGTTACAGAATATTTTTACAAGTAAATATTATGTCATAAAATAAAAGATTCCCTTTAAAAGAAATAATACTTTCAAATAAATGAATCCTTTAAAGCAAACATTTTTCCATGTTCTAAAATGAACTCATACATGCATCTCACAGACTTCTGAAATCAACCTTCTGAAACCTATGGCAATTTACACCTAATCTTTACCCATGAGTTTATATTTTAAATATGGCTATAAAAATATATTTTTGTGTTGACAATATTTTTTAAATTAACGTAAAATTCACCAGACATACAACTGACTATTTTAAAGTATACAATTCAGTGGCAAATACTGAGTCCAGAATTCTGTGGAATTACCACCTCCTTCCAGTTTCAAAATATTTTCATCATCCCAGAACACTCTGTACTTTACATAATCACTCCCTACTTTTCCATCTCGCTGTCCATTAGTAACCACTGCTTTCTGTCTCTATGGATATTTCAGATAGGGATGGCAAACACTATGTGTCTCACTGTAATTTGTAATTACTATTAATTCATTTATTGTAAGCATGAGAGACCTGATGATATCTATAACAATTCAGGCTTCATACAAATGAAGAATTTGAATTTGTACACCACAATCCATTTTGCATTTTTAATATCACTTTCCACTATTAATTGCACTAGTATCTTTGGAACATTCTTTTCATACAATACTTTCAGAATAATAAAGTCATAACAATGAAGTGTGACAGATAAAAGCTCAAAAAAAACCTTTCATTTATAGAAAGTTTTAAAAAGGCTATGGAGTTTCCAGGGAGATAGAAAGGACATATACCGCTCCTTAAATTATGTATTCCTTTCAAATGGGCATATAAAATGGATATTTGTAATATTTATTAAAATGGAGTCAAAAGATATTTTTTAGAGTAACTTGGAAAAACACTGCAACCATAAATCAACCACAGATCATGAAGTGAATGAAATAAAATATGATTATCAGTAGTATCAATTGTGTAATATGTTCCCACAGAAAGAGAATTCTGAGCCTTTCCTCACTTTGAAAAAATTGAAAGCTATATTTTCTTTTAATGCCCTATTATCAAAATAGTCAAAGACTATAAACTAATTGAAACTATTAAGAACTACAAAAGTAATCAACTGAAGGAGAAAAACTGCTAAATTCTGGAAGAACACAGATTAAAAATAGGGTCCTAGTAAGGGAGTGCTGTCAGTGAAAATGCTAACATACAGCCTACATGGCATAAACCTGAATTCATGCTGATTTTCTTCACCAAATACATTAATGGCATTTTCACTGCTATGCCCTAGAATAATAAACAGCAGGACAATTCAAAAATGGAGAGAAAATAAATTGCATACATTTAAAAAAATCAACAGCCTTGAGCATGAAAATGTAAACAACAAATTTACATTTTTTTTTAATAATCATCTCCTTTGAGAATGATATTATATGTATATATTTTCTATTTGAGACATGAACAGACAGAATATTAGGAAGGCCAACTCACATACTATAAAAATTATCATTGTTCTCAGGCATTAGCAATATCATAATTTTGTAAGTGAAGTACGGGCCCAAGTAAAAACTAACCAGAAGCAAAAATGTCCAAAGGTAGAAAAGAAGGAAAAAGGAATTGTAATGTTGGTTTATGACTTCCTAGTTTTCCTTAGGGTTGATATATGTAGATATATTTTTCCAACCTCTACATCATTAGAGCAAACCAAAATTATCTCCAGGCTAATAGAGACAGGATTAAATATAAAGGGAATTATTATATATCAGATAGCATCTTAGTTATATTTTCCTGGATGCAAAAATATAAGAATAAAATTCATAAGTTACATGAAGGTAAAAACTTGTATTTGCAGTGACTAGTACTATACCTGATGTGGGGGTCAGAACTTAACACAGATTTCTTAAGTACATGATTGGAATTTAATTAGGTAAAATCATTTCTGAAGGAAAAATTTGAAAATAGATTTCAAGAATCCTAAAATTTTCCTTTGCCTTTTATATTGTAATTTTATTTCTGGAAAGTTATTCTGACAATAGAATTTTGTCCTAACAAAAATATTCAAGATTTATATTCAAGGATTTCCACAGTATCATTATTCAAAAAAATTAGTTAGAAACAAGCAAGGTACCCTAAAATACTGATTTAGGTTACAATGAAGTATTAAAATGGACATTAAAACAATTTTAAGAGGAATTTTTAAAGACAGGAAAAAGTCCACAATATTACTAAGAGAAAAATCAGGATTCAAAATAGTATTTTTTTTTTCAGTTTTGTTTAAAAATTTATATGTAGTGAATGGTTATATTTCAGTGTCAGGATTATAGGTGATTTTTACATCTTATTAATTTTCTGTGCTTTCCAGATTTCCCACAATAAATGTGCAGTATATTTATAACCAACATTTTTTATATATAGGGTAGGGTATGGGTATATGTGTGAACAATTTCAAAACATATACAGCTAAAAGTTTTACTAATAATATCATACTGGAACATATTCCTTCGAAGTCATAAGAAAAGGAGAAAATAGTACACATTTTTAATTACAAAATCACTTATAAATCTAAATACTATAACTTTACATTGTTACACATAAATTTAGAAGTGAAACTTTTAAGTTTATATTTCCCCCAAATATTTAACAGTTGTACCTTTTACTATATTAATTTTGAACCATGAAGAAAAATAGTTGAATTTGAAATTTGTCTAAATCCCTGAACTATGCTTCTCGTCCTCCCTTCCTAGTCCAATCTGTAGTAAGACCTTGGGATTCAAATGAGAAAACAAAGTGATACTTACTTATTATAGAAAATCTAACTTCCACTCCTTCTTTACGAACTCAAGCAAACTATACACACACACAGACACAGACAGACACACACACACACACACACACACACACACACACCCCACAAACACAGTTTTATTTATGGACTGGGATCATCCAGCCCCAAAAACATTATTTAAGGATGAACTACTGAAATGGATCCATAATAAGAAACAACATTTATTAGCATTTTATAGCATAGTAGAAGAAAACATACATTTGTAACTATAAATGACAACATGTGCTGTCGATATATGTAAGAATAAGTAGAAAGATGCTACTTATTTTGCAGACTTGAAAAAAGACCACTAGCCTCAAATGAAAAAGTTCACTCTTTTTATGAAATAGAAAGGAAAAAAAATAATAAGGGAAGAAATTTATTTTAGTGGAACATTTACAATCTCCTAATAGCATCACATATTCTTTCTTACATAACTTTTCTGTTATTGTCACCTTTATGGTCAAAATCATTCTAAAAAAGACATGTCTAATGACTTTTTTAATGACTGCAAATGAACTTTTTTCCTTTTTGCATATACTTCCTATAACTCCTTTTAATTAATGAAAATACTTCAGAAAAAACAAATACTACCCTTTCCCACTCTCCCCCCAAAAAAAATCAAAGGAAAAATTTCATAGCTAATTTAACAAAAAGCTATCTTTTTTGGGCTTAAAATATCAGCCTCAAATAATTTAGTTTTTAACTGTAACTTTTTGTTAATCCAAAATTCAATGTCTGAATCTTGACAACCTAAATATCTTTTTAATACTCGTGAAATTTCAAGTTTTGTAATCCCCAACAATACTGGTAATATTAACCGGTATTTTTCTAATGTATAAGAATAAATTTATTTTGTTACTACTTTTAAATGGTTTAATAAGGGAATGACAACAGAACAAATGAATAAAAAGTAAAGACTTACATTTGTAAAGCTCCTCTGATATCAACACAATATAAAATGCATAAATGAATATTTAAGTTTTATTTTAAAATGTTCAAATCAGGGATCACTTAATGTGCAAAGTTATCTGAAGTATTCAGCAATCCATTATATATTTCTCTGTTTATTTCATTTTGTCTATTGACAAAAAATCTCAAGTATCATTATATTTCATAGCAATATTGAACTCCAACGATGACTATAAACTGACACCAAAATCCTTAAAGTTGAAAAGCAGTGAAGAATTCATATTTACTTTTATCTGAAATATCATCTTTACATAGTGCAACATTTTTATTTCTCTTAAAAATCTATGACAAATTATAGTCATCTTAAGGTATAGAGCAAAAATTATGAACTTGAATTTTCTTATAATTACTAACATAAAAAAGAGTTTAGGTACCTTCACAAAATATAACTGTTATTAAATTCCAGAAAATCTAACTCTAATAAATGAAGCAGTATGATAAAAAGTGAAAATTGGATTTCAAAACTAAAAGAATGATAAAGTGGGAGGTTAAAAGCACAATTATGTTCTAGTAATAACTTGGTTTGTAGAAAACTAGCATCGTATTTTAAAAGCACTATTTGATATTCTGAAAAGGAGAGTAAATGTAATGACTACATACTGAAAGTTGTCCTGATAAGAACTGTGGAACATCCCTCAACATTCCAGGACTCATAGGAGAGGTAACAGAAATAGAAGGACGATCCATTTTTTGAGATTCAAATGAGCTAGAACCTGCAACGATAATTACACATAACAAATAACAATGGCTCTTCACAAGTATTTAGTAAGTTTTGCCATATAACTTTTAAATTATTTATTTTTTTTATGTCCACAAAATGTCATTATATAGGCCATTTTCTTAGACACAACATTGAAATATTCTTAAAGTGTTTTTTTTTGGAAGCAAAAGTGCAGTATAGGGATTCTCTTAAGACCAACAGTGAACAATTTTCTGTGCCAATTGTAGTAGAGACAGGCCTCTACCTCAGGACTTAGTTACTATCTGTTAAGTGTACTATATTTATATCTTACGATGACATATTAAGAAAAATTTAAAAATAGAAACAAGGAGTAATCAAAACATAAATCAATAAAGCAACTGAAAGACTACATTTGCAAATAATAAGAAAATAAGTACAAAATTATTAAATTTTTAAAATGATGTATAGAACAATATAACAAATTATACTGGCAGAAAGAAGTGAGGGGCATAAAAAAAGGAATAAAATATTAAATATTTATTGTCACTATTTTCATTCTTGGGGATAAGAATATTCCCTGTATGTCTGTCATGTTCTCTGGACAGAACATTGCTGATACTCATTGGGATTCAGAACACTGGGGAAGACCTGTTTTTTTGTTTTTTGTTTTTTGTTTTTGAGACAGAGTCTCACTCTGTCACCCAGGCTGGAGTGCAGTGGCTGATCTTGGCTCACTGCAACCTCCGCCTCCCGGGTTCACGCCATTCTCCTGCCTCAGCCTCCCAAGTAGCTGGGACTACAGGCGCCCGCCAACACGCCCGGCTAATTTTTTGTATTTTTTTTTTTTCCTAGTAGAGACGGGGTTTCACCGTGTTAGCCAGGATGGTCTCGATCTCCTGACCTCGTGATCCACCTGCCTCGGCCTCCCAAAGTGCTGGGATTACAGGCGTGAGCCACCGCGCTTGGCCAGGGAGACCTGTGTTTAAGGGAATGGATGTATAAAAACTTAATTGGGAACACAGTGAACCTACAACACCTCTGAGACATCCAATGGGAGATGTAAAGCAGGTAAGTGGAAGTACAGATGGGACCAAATGTCCAAGTAGAGACTAGTGTTGGAAATTAACCTGTAGAGTTGTATGCCTAATTGGAAATGAAGGTAGATAAAACTCACCTCTAGAGAGAATACGGTGTAAAATGAAAGGGAAACTGCAAGGCTTAGGATTAGAAGTAACAGTGATACCTTTTATATTACTAGCAAGTAGGACGAATGAAACCTTTCTACTAAGAAAGAAGCCGGGTTTTGTTGTTGTTGTTGTTGTTGCCGTTGTTGTTTTTACAATAAAGGTTGTTAAACTTCAGGCAGCAGAAGACACAACAGAATGTATTCTTTGAACATCCAGGCATGTAGGGACAATGATACCTACTTTTGATAATGTAAACTTAGAAATCATACAGCTGGCAATTACAACCATAAGAAGAAAAGAATTTATTGAGGAACCAGGAATAAAGATGGTTAAGGACAGGGGCTTGGAAAAACATCAATGTTTAAAGAATAAAAGATTGGATCTAATCTGAGAAAGGACCCCTGTCTCCTCAGAAACTATTTTGGAATTATAGCCTAGGGTCTTTTTAAATAGCTAAAATAAGATAAAGGTTTCCATGTTGCTCATACAATATCTGAGAGATGTAATAAAGGTGAATAAAAATTTTAACCTACCCCATAGGATTGTTGTAAAAATTAAATGTGATGGTATAGGTATAACATTAAGCACAGTTATAAGTACTAAATACAATGGTAGCAATAAGGATAATGATGATAATATCATTTTATAATAATTATAATTTGATTATTTATGTTACAGTTTTATGTGATCATGATATTCTTTGGATAAAATCATTTAGCACGTAGTCAAAGATACTAAATCAAATAAGTCATGGGACCATATTTTAAAGTATAGAGCTATGGCATTCAAAGGACTACTCTGATAAAGACTTTAAAGAAACTTGTAATTGTAAATATGAAAGTTAAAAAACACCTATTTTAATAGTGCATTCTCAATTATTGTGGTATATAGAGAATCTGACCACTTCTCACCATCCTCATTGCTACCACCATGGTTTACGTCACCACTGTCTTACCACTAGATTAGCCTTCTCACTAGTCTCTTTGCTTTTACCCTCAACTCTATTAATCTATTTGCAGCCTAGTAGCCAGATTTTGACACTAAGTATCTAAGTATCAACCTAGTAGCCAGTATTTAACACTAAGTATCAAAACCATCCTAGATAGCTCCCAATTTTCCTGAAAGTAAAAGCCAATGTCCTTACAGTGGGTTACACGGCCTACGCAATTTGCCCATTATTCCTCTATCCTCATTCATACCATTCTTCCTCTTGCTCATTCCATTCAGCTACACTGGCCTCTTTGAATTTCCTTAAATGCACCTTAGGCTTTCTTGCCATTGCATCCACACATCCTGTACCTGGAAAGATTTCCCCCCAGGCAGCCACTCCAAATGTTTCCTTCAATCCTTCCCTCTCAGTGTGGTCTATCCTGATCAACATATTTCAAATGGCAATCCTTTTTTTCCTCTCTCCCAGTATCCCTTACTGTACTCTCAATCAATAAAGAAACTTACTTCATTGAAAAAAAATAATTTAACATCTGAAATACCACTAAAAATAATGTTTAAAATTATAGATAAATTTGACTTTAAACTTATGTATTTATTGTTCCAGTATTCCTCTGATGTTAAATCAGAACTGTTATCCCACTTTCCAAAAACATAAATTAGAATAAATGTAATTATTCACTAGTTTATTCTAAGCATCTTCCCCTACTTAATGAGGATGAGGTTACAAACAGTAAATCTTAAAACTAGGGGAAGTTTTGGGGGTGAATTTTTGGGAGCAGTGACTATGTTCATGATTTTTTGTTGGGATGATGGTTTCACAGGTATATATGTATGTCAAAACTTACCTAATTGTGTACTTTAAGTATGTGCAGTTTATTGCAGTATACCTTAATCATGCTATCTAAAAATCTGTAATAAGACAATATGTTTTAAAAAAACTTAAAATATTCTACATTTTTGTATTTTTTCCCACAGTGACATGAAATAATACTAAATTTTCCATCTTTATATGCTTACATACTTGATAGTAAGGGTATCATATTTCTTACTTCACATTACTAGCTAAAAACTTCATCTGACCTCTGATGAATGCAATTATAAATAACATTTTCTTCTAGAATAAATAAAACTTACTGGACTCCAGTTGTGCATGTGTGCTATCAGGTATTCTAGGTATATCTCTGAAATGATAAAAAGAAAAAGAAAGAAAAAGAAAGAGAAAGAAAGAAAGAAAGAGAAACTGTTTCAACAATTAATACAACTCATATTTTTTATCATTATCAACCTATTAATAGGACAGTGTAAAATGAAGAAAACTGTGTATAATAGTGGTATTATATAAATAAGAAACAAGCCTTAGTACTTATTGCTCATAAAAGTATTCTGGGCCAACCTCAACTATTTAAAAGGAAATAAAATTCATACGCATCCATAGCATACTTTTAAAAACAGACTTTATTTTCTATGTGTCTCACTGCACAATTATCCATTATAAAAAATTTGTATTAAACAAGATAAGTTTTACAGATAGGTTTTTATTCTCTTCTGCTCTTTGGTTTTACCTGCTGTTCTAAATCAGTAACATTAAAGTACAAATAAAATACCACCAAAATAAAAAGTAAAATATTCATGTTGTGATTAAAACTTTCATTTTATTTTATTTTATTTATTTTTATTTTTTAAAGATGGAGTCTCACTCTGTCACCAGGCTGGAGTGCAGTGGCGCGATCTCAGCTCACAGCAACCTCCACTTTCTGGGTTCAAGCAGTTTTCCTGCCTCACTCTAATTTTTGTATTTTTAGCAGAGACAAGGTTTCACCATGTTGGCCAGGTTGGTTTTGAACTGCTGACTTCAAGGGATCCACCCGCCTCGCCCTCCCAAAATGCTGGGATAACAGGCATGAGCCACCGGAAACTTTTAAAATGTAGTAACATCACTGAGAAAAGACAAACACGTTTCTTATGGGGAAATCTCAAATTACCATGGAACTATATTTACACCAAAAATAAGTGTATATTTTTATTTGAGATTTGACACAAGGATTAAATATTAATGGTTACATTCATTCAGTAAATTACATAAAGGACTGTAAATTATTTAAAATATTAAACAAAAACAAGACTTGAAGATCCTTTAATACCAAGAAATATATTTGATCAATACACTAATCTTAAACACTGCAGTTTTATCATAATACAAAACTATGAAAAGACAAAATAAAAAATGAATACAATTTCAAGTACCAGATTTAATACTTTAAAAGGAACATTTCAATAAAACTAAGCTACCACCCTAAGTCATTTTCTTCAGCATTTTTAAAAAAGAGATAAAAATAATACAGGCCCATCATTTCCTAAATGAATTAACACTGGACATTACTATTCTACAACAAATGATTTCTGTATGCTTTACCCTAGAATGCTCTTACCCTAAATCTGCATTTAATAATTCACTAACAGTAATATTTTTCTGTTACTTTTACTCTGATACAAGTATATATTTTGCCTTGGCATATAATGTAATTCAGTTGCCTCTTTAACATTTATTGCCAATGTTTGGAAATTGTCAATTTTAATCTATAGGCATTACATTTAATGCATAGGCATTATAAAACAGAGGTATAAATTACAAAGCCAAAGAGTACTTTGATGTTTGCTTATTTTGGGTCTGTTTGTTCACCTTGTTAAAAAAGATGTCATGTTTTTCCATAAACTATTACCTCTATCTAGGAATAGTATGTCCTTTGGCCCTTTCTTTCCTGTGTTGAAATCTCTATTTTGAAAAATGTAAAATGTGTAGACTATAGATGATTTATAGTCTCCTTCCCCTACTAAATCCTATAACCACTGTCTAAGGTGTTACAATAAAATGAATAAACACGTAAATATTTCTTCTTTTGTAAGTAACTGTATATTCTACCATCTATATGATTAGATAAAGAGATATTATTTTTGGTGTGATGCTTTTGGTAAGGAAAGAGAAAAAGTTACTGTCTACAAAATAATTTATTTCCATAAAGCAATCAGAAATTATTAAATGGCACATTACAAATAGTTTAACAGTATTCAACTTCACACACACATAAAATACTGAAACCAACTTACCCAATAGGCCTTGAAACTACAAGCTCTACTTGTGGTTCAGGTTTGGATTCTAGAATGATGTTGTATACTTCCTCAAATGTGGCTCCTTGCAATAGCCTTCCATTCCATTCTAATACTTCATCACCTATAGTGTGTGTCAGTAATAATAATCTCATAAAGAAAATTTGATCCAATAAATTACACTTAACAGCATCTTAAACTTCAATAAACTCCATAGGATAAAATAACTATTATACAATATGAAACATACTCAGAACAGTTCCAGTGACACAAAATTTGATGACCATGGTGATTAGTGTATTTCACAGAAAAGGACAATGATTAGAAGAAAAAATTACATAAACATTATTTCTATGTGATTTCTTAATAGAAATTCAAATTCTAAGCAACAATCAAAATCAGTTGCCTCTTTAAAGATTTTATGACTTTATACTCTAGGTTTCTCAATATATTTGCAACTGAGCACCTTGTTTTTTTGTAAAGGGTTTCCACTGTCTAAACTCTTTTGTAAAAATCTTAATAATTAGTATATTATCAAATCCTCTTTGAGGTACTCAAGGATTTCTCCAATAGTATCCATTACCAAAGAGATAAGGGGTGACACATGGTAGGAAATATGCCTTTGTCCATAAAGTTTGTTCTAAACTACGTTAGAATTTTCTCAAAAGAAAAAGGTCCTATGGGAAACAAAATAGGTTAATATTATATACAGATTAGAATACCCATCAGAAAAAAATAAGATATAGTCAACATAAAAATGATTTTGATCTACTATGACTCAAGAAATAATAGTTTTGACTTTCCATTAATGAATAGAGATTTATATCTAAGTTAAATGAGCTCTTTGTTATTGTCAAATCACTTCTAAATAAATGAAAATAACTCATAACTACTAAAGTTGGACAGTTTAAATGTAAATAATCAAAGGTAAAACCCTACCTGGTCTAAGATGTCCTACAGTATCAGCTAAACTTCCTTTTTTTACTTTAGTAATAAATGCACAAAGCCGGCCTGATTCAGTCATCTTTCCTCCTACAACCTGTTTAAAAGAGGAAAGTATTAACACAGGAATATTGTTAAAATGAGCATAGTTGAAAAGATTCAGGTAAAAAATACCTAGAACAATTTGCAACATCTAAAATGCTAATTTAATGTACAGAAAATGATTTCTTAAATAATTTATTGTCTCTATTAGATTAGTACGTGCCCTAAAAGCTAGGTCTTTTTCACATATTCCAACTGTTTTGCCATTTAATACCCATTATTTGCTGAAATGTTGCATAACTTAGAAACAACATAACAATTGGTAATTTTTGTCCTTATTCTAAAATTCTTGCTTTTGTAATTTCCAAAAACATATTTTACAGTATCGTATTAATTGTATAAACATTTCTAGTTATAGATGTAAATACTTTAATACAAAATTTTTGTTTCTTTTACTATAATTAGGATACACCACCAAACTTTCATTGGTAATCTTTTAGAAACACTGATAATGTGCATAATGATGATGGATCTTACTTGAAAAAAATTACAAAATTTACTTAATCGCATTAGAAGTAATGTAAACTTCAGACCATTTGAATCTCAATTTTTCATTTTTATGTTTCTATTAAAATATAACTTTTAGAAAATGAATAAAAATGTTAGGAATAATGCTGTGGAGTCATATGTATACTTGTATATCTTACAAAATTAATGCTTTGATTCTAATCAACTACCATTCAGTCAAATATCTCAATTTGATGGCAAGTGAAGCAAATAATAGCAACTAACTTCACTGACTGAAATGAATTGATTTTTCTCTTCTAAACAGAGTGAAAGTTATTTGAATTCAAAAATCATGGGGTGTATCTTATTCCATGCATTTTTTTCATAATTACAGTGAATTACACATAGCTGCAATTCAGTTAATAAACTAATTAGTCCTATCTTTGAATCTGAAAATTAAATGTATAGCTCTTATTGACTTATATCCTTAAGTAAATATTTAAAAACTTTCTTGGCTTAACAAACATTAATAATAATTAATTAATTACACTAGCTATAATGATTATTGATATCTTAAAGCTTGCCAGGCACTTTACTAAATGTCTGTATGTTTGTTTATTTAATCATATTACAACAATTCAATTATCCTCATTGAATAGATAAGAAATCTAAAGCTAAGAGAAGTTTATTTGTCCAGTTGCATGTAACTAGTAACTCCTGTATTTGGAATTGAAGCCAAGACTTCCTAATCTTTATTCTAACACTATAATAGGCATCTCTGGATTAAAAAATTGTTTTTAAGACAAAGGGTCTCACTATTTTGCTCAGGCTGGACTTGAAACCCTAGGCTCAAACAATCCTCCTGCCTTAGCCTTCCAAGTAGCTGGGACTATAGGCACATCTCACTGTCCCTGGAAATGGGTCAAATCTGAATTTAAATTCCACCATCATCACCATCTTGTGACCACGGGGAAGTTAAACACCTCTCTAAGCCTATTTCTCATCTATTGTGAGTGTTAACTAGGATAACAGATATAAAATGCTCAGGTGAGTGCAAGTACATGGATGCCACCCAATACATGTTCTTCCAAGATCTGGTCATTTAAACCTATGTGGCACCTTGCTTCCCACTCCCACTCTCTCATGCTCCTGCTTTTGCCATGTGACATGTGTACTCTCCCTTCACCTTTGACCATAATTGTAAGCTTCCAGAGGCCTCCCCAGAAGCCAAGCAGATGTTGGCACCATGCTTCCTTTAAAGCTTGCAAAACTATGAGCTGATTAAACCTCTTTTCTTTATAAATTATCCAGTCTCAGGTAGTTCTTTAAAGCAATGCAAGAAAGACCTAATACATAGCCCATTTCCACCTACATCCAAAGTTTCCTAATATCTCTTATATTCTACAGGACAATTTTTATAGGAATGACTTAGCTCTAAAACATTTACTTTATTTAGAGAGAGACAGAGTCTCACGCTGTTGCCCAGGCTGCAACAGTGGTGTGATCACAGCCCACTCTAACCTCAAACTCCTGGGCTTAAGCAGTCCTCCTGCCTCAGCCTTCTCAGTAGCTGGGACTCCAGGCATGTGCTGCTATGTCCAGCTATTTTAAAATTTTTTGGGCTGAGCGCAGTGGTTCAATCCCAGCACGTTGGGAGGGCAAGGTGGGTGGATCACGAGGTCAAGAGATCAAGATGATCCTGGCCAACATAGTGAAATCCCATCACTACTAAGAATACAAAATAAATAAATAAATAAATAGCTGGGAGTGGTGGTACGCGCCTATAGTCACAGCTACTCGGGAGGCTGAGGCAGGAGAATCACTTGAATCCAGGAGGCAGAGGTTGCAGTGAGCCGAGATCACAACACTGCACTCCAGCCTGGGCCACAGAGCGAGACTCCATCTCAAAAAAAAAAAAAAAAAAAATTGGTAGAGACAGGACTTCACTATGTTGTCTAGGTAGGTCCAAAGCAATATTCTCCTGGTCCAAAGCAATATTCCCACCTGGGCCTTTCAAAGTGCTGTAATTACAGGCATGAACCATGACACCCAGCATATTCCTTTTTCATTTCAGGTTTTAATTGGGTATACTAGATGCACAAAAACCAAACAAAGCTCTATTTAATGTATTTACCAAATAATTTCCTGGTATTTTACAGTAAAACATAAATCAATATTTGTATTTAATTTCCCAGCATAATTATTTTTGTTTTTAGAATTCAAACAGTACTCTCTTAAGTGCACATATGCACATACACACACATACACACATTTTACAGCATTTATACAAAATTATATATATACATATGTAATATATATATTACATTTCCCAAGTTTTCATTTTGAGTAATTATAAAAAACTATCACTTTAATAAAATATAAACACAGATTTAGACTTAAAGAATAAACTGTATAGTTAAAATGAGTTTGACCACTGTATTTCAGATTCAGGTAGATTCTAATGAGGTTACTTTTAATGTCTTCCAAATTTATATATACACAAGTATTACTGTGGAATTATGGCAACTTCTTAAATAATAGTGGGAAAATGAAATGTTTTAGATAATGAGTGCAAATCTTCACAAATTATTGAAAATGGAAAAATACACTACTAAATTGGTACAGGTTGAAAGTTATCCTTTGCTTTCCGGGTAAACCTGTAAGATTATAGAGCCAAAATATCATACATTTTATTACATACCTTCAAGCCAAGCATTGCTCCTGAATCTCGAGGTACACTTCCATCTTTTAGACGCTTATTTAATAAAATGCGACCAATTAAACGATCTCCATCTTTAGATGGTTGCCAGGTTACAGGGTGCTGACATTTTGCATCAAGAAACAAAATAAATAAATACAAAATAAATAAATGATTTTGTCAATTTATGACAAATGGTCTCTGATTGTATGACCTCTCTAAACTTCAGAATTCCAGTGTTATGATTACACAAACCAGCTTTCATTTCAAAGCACTGCTCATAAGGGTGTACTATATTATGCTTATAACCTCAGTATAATCTCAAAGTTTTTTTCAAACTCCAATTACTTCCAGTTCTTACAGTTCTCTAACACAATAATGAATAGCTCTACAAAATCTGAGAAATTTTGAAAATGCGTGCAACTAATTATCTACATGCTGAAAAATAAAAATTCACAGGTATAAAAGATACACTGAAATTCTATGCAAGTGAATTAATTTAAAAATGAAAATTTCCTCTTCAAACACATTTGGAAGATTTTGAAAGACTGTATTACAGTAACAATTAAAAAGTCAAATCATATTAAAACATTAAATTTGACCCTATGATGAGGGCTTTTTTGAAGAGGTTTCTAGATTAAAATAATGAAGTGTACATAAACCCCAATACATTTCCAACTGAATCTGCATGGGAGAGAAACAGGCTTCATTTACAGGTGGGAATAGATTACATTTCTCACTTCTCAGAGGTTCTTTCATGATTCTTTCAGGTTTCTGATCTATTTAGTAAATTACCTTTACTAGATAATTCAATGATATCTATTGTTAAATAACCTTGAAAACATTAGTAGTTTCTTTGTTTCTCAGGGCTGAACCAAGGCCTCTGTAAATAATGACACTATTCTATTATGAATGATATGCTCAATAGGAAAGTAAATGATTTGTGTAATCATAGTTTCATAGTTATCAAAAAGTAACAGGCATATCTTCATGCAAAATTTAGCAGGCAAAATGCAAGTTCCAGTCAATCGCATCTATATGGTAAAAAGATTTCAAAAGTCCCACTATCCTAAAAGCAAAAATAATAAATATCAAAGCAGATGGCAAGGGCTCTAATACTAATTAGTACTACATTAAAATGCTATGACAATAAAACAAAAGACCAAAATGACAGTGAAAGGGAAAAAAGAAAAACAACTTTTTCTGTGCAAACAGTCCCAATTATCTCCCTTTTGTCTGGGATTCAAACTATTAATAATTTAATTTTCATCCCAAGGAAAACATATGCAAGCAATCAAATAAGCCAATCCAAAAATTATTTCTTATTTGTGGTTTTTAATAACACTACAAAGTTCTCTCATGCAATGAAAGACAAAACATTCCTTTGTTCCTAAGATTTATTTTTATATATTTATTTTTTGGTACGCCGTCAAGCAATAAAAACAGCAAAGTAAGCAAGAGATTTTTTTGGTTTGTTGTTTGTTTAGTTTGGTTTTGTTTTTCTTTTCTGCACCTTAAGAAATGCTACAGTGACCCTTGAGATGCCCTGTCCTTTTATTATGTTCTGTTTTAATGAGTGACAGAGAGCAAACGAAGACCGAATGAGCAGGTTAAAAGGCAGGCTCCACAATCTCAGTACCTTATCACTATGGCTATGCTCCTCGTTAAGGGTTGTGCTACTACACGTATCTACCCCAGAGTCCTTAATCTGAGGTTCAGACCATTCCAAATCCTCTTCCAAAGAGTGGCCACCAAAGTACATCATTTTCTTTTGTCTTTCAGACCTGGTGTTAGAGTCCGACAAAACTGCCTGCTCACTAGTTTTTCTTTTTCCCTTTTGACTGTCCCCTACAGGTATGGGATAAAAAAAAAAAGAAAGAAACAAAAAAGAAACATGCAAAGGTGTAAATAAAAAAGGAAAAGTGAAATGATAACGAAAATTAAATAGTAAGGCTCCACATGTCTCACCAAAGACATTGGGGATGCCTCACTGCTATGCCAAGACGTATGATCCAACCAGTTGTAATCCATGTCTCCTGTGAGAGTCAGACAAAAGAGCGCAGTAAAGGAGATGGTGAAAAAAGGGACAGACAGAGACATTATAAACATTTTAAACTGTGTGATCCTGTCTGGTCTCAAGAACTTTGTCTGTATAAATATATATATAAATATATATATATATATATATATATATATATGCCAAAAGAAAGCTAATATTTAAAATGAGTAAAATTTATAGAAAGTATAATATAAGGTTTATATCTCTAGACAGATCCTACAGAACAAAAGTCCTGTGAAAAGAGAAATAATAATAAACAGAAATAGAAACAAAAAAATGTATATGCTGAAAAAGACTATCAGCTATGACTGTTATTCATGCTATTTTTTTTACTCCCATGTTGGTCTAAAGACATGAGTTTGTTCTCCAAAGATTAAGGGACATTTAAAAAGTTTACATTGGTTTGCCAATAACCAGTATTTTAAAAAGCTAAATAATTAAATGCCATTTCTGAAATGCAGTATGATATTCTTCATCATGCTAAAACCTCCTAAGAAATTTGGGTGGTTAAAAAAATTGTTTCCACAAAATAGTAATTTGTATGAAAATTATAAAACAGATTCATTCAATATTAGTAAAAATAAACTTTACTTAAACATCATGAATCACTTAATATTTTGAAATAATTTTTCAACCTTTTTCAGAAATCACATTCTTATAAAAAGTAAATTAAAAAAAATTTGTCAGATAATTTATGTAACTGGCAACTAAGAATGTATATCCACCATTTCCCAAACTTATATGCTTCTTATTTGCTCAGTATTTCAAAATATAAAATATTTGTTATCTTTAATATCTTTTTAGTCTGTATATTCACATATATCTTTTAAAATTCTATTTATAATTTTATTTTCTAAAAATACATACTGAACACCTTCCATTTGCTATGTATTGTGCTGAGCTCTACTGTAAAGGGTAAAACAATGAAATATGCTTACAACAGAGTAGGGATAGAGAAACAGAACAAATCATCAGTATCATATAGGAAAATACAAGACACTATGAAAGAGTACAATAAGATCTAATTTAGACTTTGGGGTCAGCAAACACCCCTAAAGTAATAATGTTTAAGATGAGAACTGAAAGATGTGATATGGTGCTATAAAAGAACTGAAGGAACACAATGGTTTCTGAACTAAAAAGAATGAAGAAGAATATGGTACTAAGTGAAACTGGTAAGGCAGCACAGAACAACTTAGATAAGTCTTTTATTTCATATTAAAGATTTTAAATTTCAACCATTGAGGGATTTTAAGTGTAATGGTGACATAATCTGATTAACATTTTAAAATGATGAATATAAGTACTACATAGAGACTAGGCTGTATGACACCAAAAGTTAAAAGACATTTACAATAACCCTTGGAAAAGGTAGTTATGGCTTGAATAAAGATAATAGCAATAGACATGGTAAGAAAAAAGGGACTGAGATGTTTTTGAGTGTTAAGAAAGACTAAAGAGTCCAGGTTAACTCCCCAGTTTCTGGCATTAATAACTGAATGGAAGAAAAAATTTATGAGATGGAGAAGATTGGAGGAAGAGCACTTCTTGTTAGGGAAGGGTAAGAGGGAATCTATTTCATAAAACATATGACACCATTGACTATAGGATTCATAACTTTCAGGATATAAAAATGTTCGTCTTAGAATTTATTAAATATGGTGGTTGAATTTTGATATATTATTTGAACCTAGTGCACATACAAGAAGGAAACTGGCTAGGGTGTAATAAAACTTAAAGTTTTGGCCGGACATGGTGGCTCATGCCTGTAATCGCAGCACTTTGGGAGGCTGAGGTGGATGGATCATGAGGTCAAGAGATGGAGATCATCCTGGCCAACGTGGTGAAGCTCCATCTCTACTAAAAATACAAAAAATTAGCTGGGTGCGGTGGTGCACACCTGTAGTCCAAGCTACTCAGGAGGCTGAGGCAGGAGGATTGCTTGAAACCTGGAGGCGAAGGTTGCAGTGAGCTGAGATCACACCACTGCACTCCAGCCTGGAGACAGAGCAAGATTGTCTCAAAAAACAAAACAAACAAACAAAAAACTTAAAGTTTTGATCTGGAGACATAAATTGGCAATTATTAACATATAGACAGGAGTAAGTGAGATCATTTAGGGATAGAGGGTAAAATAAGGTATGAAGAGAACCCAAACTGAATTCTGACATTTAGGGTTTGATTTGAGAAAAAAAAAGGGGGGAGAGAGAGAAGATTCAAAAACAGCATGCAGAGAAAAAAAGGAAGGAGGGAGACAGAGGGAGGTCTCCAAATCAAATAGAGTTGCCTAAAACAAAGAAGAAATAAACTATCCTGAAGGATTTTTACATATCAAATAAGATGAGGAGGTTAAAAATATGCATTGGATTTGGCAACCATGAAGATTAGAAAAGATGTCAGGAAGAACAATTGGATAGAATGATGAAAATTAAAATCAGGTTGAAGAAACCAAAAAACCAAGGGAAGTGAAAAGTAGAAAAAGTTGTGTGTAAATGAATGGTTCTCAAATTGCAGTTCTCAAAATAGCATCATCGGCAACACCTGGGAACATGTTAGAAATGTAAATTCTGGGTGTCACCCTAGACTTAATGAATCAGAAACTGTTAGTGGGCCTAGCAATCTGTATTTTAACAAGCCTTCCAGATGATTATGGTCAGATGTTTGAGAATTACTGGAGACAATTCTTTTAAGAAACTCATTTATGAAAGAGAATAGGCTTTATTATCTAACACACACAATATACAATTTGTAGAAAGAATCCCATTCTTTAACCTATGGGCCAGAGAAGTGCTTCCCAAGCTTTTTCGTAATTACAATATTAGTAAAAAACACTGGAGTATATGGAGATGACCAGTTCCTAGGATACTTATGCCCATGCCTGGATGGCTACCCAAAAAGCTAAGAGTATCTGTGTCTCAGAAAACCTGTAGCCCTTTCAAAATACAGTTGTGTCCCATAACAAAGCATTGACAAATCTGTACAGTAGAGAAAAAACAGTATGAAGCCTGTAAATAAAAATTCTTAACTGGTTTATGTGACAGTAAGAAAATTCAACTCAAAATTTCTCTTCTCCCTCTGTGCTTGCAACCTACCAAAAAGGCAGACATGTAATTTCTTTTGTTCTGAAAATAAAAAACATAAGCTGTTTAACCATTTGAAACTAAAGTTAAAACCTCTGATTGACAAAAAAAAAAATTGTCCTATATTCGGGGTACAGTGGCTCACGCCTGTAATCCCAGCACTTTGTGAGGCCGAGGCGGGTAGATCACCTGAGGTCAGGAGTTTGAGACCAGCCTGGTCAACATGATGAAACTCCGTCTCTAATAAAAATACAAAAACTAGCCAGGCATGGTGGCATGTAGCTCCCAGTCCCAGTTACTTGGAAGGCTGAGGCAAGAGAATCATTTGAACCCAGAAGGTGGAGGTTGCAGTGAGCTGAGACAGTGCCATTGCACTCCAGCCTGGGCAACAACAAAGCGAGACTTCATCTCCAAAATCAAAAACAAAAGCAAAACAAAACAAAAAACTGTCATGTATAAGTACTAAATAAAAACTTGTTGAATGAGTAAAATTAGTGTCCCTGTAAGAATAAGATAATTAATGGTAAATCATATAGAAAATAGTCCTAAAAACTATTAAGACTATTATTATAGACCTAATAATACTTACCACTGGATATTCTTTTTTTTTTGCCGCTTAATAGTATAGAACTAAGATAATAAAATTTTTTTTTCTTTTGCTGTACAAAAGCTCTTTAGTTTAATGAGATCCCATTTGTCAACTTTGGCTTTTGCTGCCGTTGCTTTTGGTGTTTTAGACATGAAGTCTTTGCCCATGCGTATGTCCTGAATGGTACTACCTAGGTTTTCCTCTAGGGTTTTATGGTATTAGGTCTAACATTAAGTCTCTAATCCCATCTTGAATTAATTTTCATATAAGGAGTAAGGAAAGGATCCAGTTTCAGCTTTCTACTTATGGCTAGCCAATTTTCCAGCACCATTTATTAAATAGGAATCCTTTCCCATTTCTTGTTTCTCTCGTTTGTCAAAGATCAGATGGCTGTAGATGTGTGGTATTATTTCTGAGGACTCTGTTCTGTTCCATTGGTCTATATCTCTGTTTTGGTACCAGTACCATGCTGTTTTGGTTACTGTAGCCTTGTAGCATAGTTGTGAAGTCAGGTAGCGTGATGCCTCCAGCTTTGTTCTTTTGACTTAGGATTGTCTTAGAGATGCGGGCTCTTTTTTGGTTCCATATGAACTTTAAAGCAATTTTTTTCCAATTCTGTGAAGAAACTCATTGGTAGCTTTGATGGGATGGCATTGAATCTAAAATATTCTTGGGCAGTATGGCCATTTTCATGAATATTGATTCCTCCTATCCATGAGCATGGTATGTTCTCCCATTTGTTTGCGTCCTCTTTTATTTCACTGAGCCAGGGTTTGTAGCTCCCTTTGAAGAGGTCCTTTACATCCCTCTGCAAGTTGGATTCCTAGGTATTTTATTCTCTTTGAAGCAATTGTGAATGGAAGTTCATTCATGATTTGTCTCTCTGTTTGTCTGTTACTGGTGTATAAGAATGCTTGTGCTTTTTGCACATTAATTTTGATATCCTGAGACTTTGCTGAAGTTTCTTATCAGCTTAAGGAGATTTTGGCTGAGACAATGGGGTTTTCTAAATATACAATCATGTCATCTGCAAACAGGGACAATTTGACTACTTCTTTTCCTAATTGAATACCCTTGATTTCTTTCTCTTGCCTGATTTGCCCTAAGCATGAACTTCCAA